CTGAGCAGGACATTGAATTAGAAGACACCCAAAGTCCCTTTCAACTCTGTCTATTCTATTCTATTCTATTCTATTCTATTCTACTCTACTCTACTCTACTCTACTCTACTCTACTCTACTCTATCATTCTCTTCTCTTCTCTTCTCTTCTACTCTACTCTACTCTACTCTACTCTACTCTACTCTACTCTACTCTATCATTCTATTCTATTCTATTCTATTCTATTCTATTCTATTCTATTCTATTCTATTCTATTCTATTCTATTCTATTCTATTCTATGTATGTCCAGTTTACTGAAAAGAAAGACATGAAAGTAGTCTTCCAATATTTGAGGGGCTGCCACCAAGAAGAGGGGATCAGTCTATTCTCCAAAGCAATGGAGAAGGCAGGACAAGAAGCAATGGATGGAAAGTAATCAAGGAGCAACCTGACAGTAAGAACAATCAATCAGTGGAACAATTTGCGTTCAGAAGTTGTGGGTACGCCAACATCGGAGGTATTCAAGAAGAGACTGGACAGCCATTTGTCTGAAATTGTATAGGGTCTCCTGCTTCCACAGCGGACTAGTGGACTCCACAGTGGACTAGTTGACCTTGAAGGTCCCTTCCAACTCTGTTATCGTGTTAAGAATTATTAAAGACAGATGCTGACTTGGGTGGTAATACATCTTAAGGACTATTTATAACATCGTTCCTGGATTCAAACAAAAGCAAAACCATTGTTTAAATTTTTCACTTGCTGTCTATCATCGATTGTTAAATATACTTGAAAAATTTCAGCACCCATAAACATTTTGTGACTGATCAGTCACACTGCAATTGGGAGCTCAAGTTTTGTTTTGCCAAGCAAAACTGGAAAATCTGATTGCAGTTCTTGGAATAGGGATGAGAATACAGAGAAAGGAAGGAAGAAGCATTATGGACCTTGACAAAATATTGACTCAGAATAGACTGATCCACCGTAAGCAAACACATTGATAAGCGCTTGCTTTCCTAGTGGAAAATATGTGCATGATAATCTTGGATTGTCTGAAATGGAAAAGGGGGACGCGATTTATGTGTGATCAAAAGCTCCCTTTGGAAATCCAAGTTTCTTTATTTGGAGTCAGCATCCCAAACTTTAAGAAAAAAACCCCCGATGTTTACTTATGGGTAACACGTATAAAGTATAAACCACCTCTCTTCAAAGGCAATTCATAGTTTTTTTTAAAACAACAACAACAACAACCATTAATCGGGTGTAACATTACCTTTGACCATTTTAAATGCGGGCAAAAAAAATTGGGGATACCATTTCTCCCGAGAGTTGTTAATTTAAGATGCTAGGTTAAGTCCATCATATAAAGCGGTATATAAGTCTAAGTGCTATTGCTATTTGGAATGGCAGCTTGGCTCCCATTTTGTGTCCTTAACTGACTTTAAGAATCTAAGAAGAGTCAGACCTGTCTAGTATCTACAGGGAAACATCCAGGAAATTCCAGGGACATATAGACTAAACTGGGAACTAAAAGATACTGTAAATAAATCCAGAGATAATGTTCAGCAAAGGCCTTCCCTCTTGTTGACAAGAATACTAAATAAACCTCTTCCTCTTCCTCCTGTTCTTCTTCCTCCTCCTTCTTTCTTTTCTTTCTTTTTCTTTACCTTCTCCTTCTCCTCATCCTCCCCTGCAAATCCCACTCCCTTCTAGCACTGATGATGTTACTTTGTTTAGTAATTAAACATCTCCAAGAAAACCACCAAGCTCAAAGAGCACCAGTCCTCCTCCTCCTCCTCCTCCCCACAAACCCTATTCCCTTCCAGCATTGATAGCGTTTATCTAATTTGGTAATGAAATGTTTGCAAGAAAACAACACAGCTCAGAGAACACTAAACACCCAACAGTCTTCCTCCTCCTCCTTCCTCCTCCTCCATTTCCTCCTCCTCCTCCTCTTCCTTTTCATCCTCCCCCATCTCCCAACCCTTCCTTCCTTCTTCCCTCCCTGTGTTTGCATTGTACAACATCATTAGCCTGGTTCTGATATTAGTCCATACTCTGATTTTTCTATCACCATTGAATCACAAACTAATCGAACCAGATGGATTTCCATTGTATATCAAGCCACGAAACGCCAACTAAGCTTAGCATATCGTCCAATGTTTACCTTGGCAAATGATCTGGTGAAATAGGTGGATTGGACTCAGCCAATATTAATGCATTAATATTAAATTTGATTTATTTATTTTTTTGAAGAAAAAAAAAAGACAAGATAGAACCGAAACTGTGGGATGCAAATCCAACGTTACCAACGAACAGAAGGTTAAGAAATCTGTTTATAGCAGAACTCGGCTCAGAAATTTTTAATGGCAGCTTGTTATGGAGTTAAGAAGCGAAGTACCGTGGCCATAACTAGAGAAACATTCACAAAGTTATTATTATTTTTTCAAGGGATAAAAAGAGAGAAAGAGACTTGTTTCTAAAGAGTTTGGTCATTTGCCTGGCTAAGAATAAACCTCACATTTTTAACCCAGAAGATTGCAATGTCTGTTTCTAATTCTGGGAATGAGAGCTGTCACTTGGACGTACGTGGTTTTTTTTTTTCTTTTCTTTTGCATTTTATGCTCGAGATAAAGGACAGAAAAGGACCTTTGACGTCAATCCTGAGCAACCTTTCTCAGGTGGAATTAAGGTCTCAGGAGCTTATTCAAGTAGGCGAAGGCTCTTAAAATGAACCGCTAATGAGTCTGTCCGTGCACCCCTTCCAGAGAGGGAGAGAAGAAAAATGCCCAACCCTGATGCAGAACTCGAGGCAATTGGTCAAAGGTGTCATGCCCGCCCTCGGGATAAGGTAAGACAAGCTATTTCTGTAACAGGAGTTTTCACGCTGGGCTCCGACTTCCTTTTTTTCCATAGCTTAGAGAGAGACACGAGATGGGAGGGAGTAGGCACAGCTTCCTGCTGTTGTGAAATTATAGCGGAGCCTGGAAAAACCAACCCTCTTTCCTTCTCCTAAGTGGAAGGGGGAACAGTTCATTCTTCCAAAAGAACAGTCCTGGGTTCAAAGCTATTGTGCATCCACTTAGAAAGCCAGCGGGATGACATGGGATCTAAAAGAACCTAGCTCAACCAACTCGCTTTATTCTTTATTCTTCACTAACTTTATTCTCTTTCCTCTTCTTTTAACGACCCTATAATCCCTTGCGGGGTGCAGTCTGGGCAACTAAATGGAGCTAGCAGAGCCTTTTAATGGCCGGATGCCCTTCCAGTCACCAATATGGAGTTCTGTCCAGCAGATATATTCTCATTGGGCCCAGAGGGAGAAATACCTGCCTCTACCCAAGATCGAACTCACAGCCTCCTGATTGTGAGGCGAAAGCTCCGCTTCTAGGCCACCTAACCACTCAACGTTATTCTCTTTATTTGGTATAATTTATTGTTATAAATTATACAAGGAGTTAGGGGTCACACGATCGCAATCTTCCAAAATTTGAGGGGCTGCCATAAAGAAGAGTGGGGGCGGGGGGTCAACCTGTTCTCCAAAGCACCAGAACAAGAAGCAACGGATGGAAACTAATTAAGGGGAGAAGCAACCTAGAACTAAGGAGAGATTTCCCGACAGGGAGAACAATCAATCCATGGGACAGCTTTCCTCTAGAAGTTGTTGGGGGCTCGATCATTGGAAGTTTTTAAGAAGAGTTTGGACAGCCCCGTGTCTGAAATGGTATTGGGTCTCCTCTTTGAACAGGAGGTAGAACTAGACAACTTCGAACATCCCTTCCAAATCTGTTATTCTGTAATTCCCTAGCTTTTTCTAAGCCCACCTAAAACAGAATGGGGTCTCTACCTTTCCTGAGGTTGAACTATAGTTCTCGTCCTTTCTTACTGTTGGCCAATCTGATTGGAGTTGTAGGGTCTTGGGATCCAACCAAACCCAGATCAATGAACGTTTTCCTTCCCTTGTGCTCATTTGATAGGCCAAATATGTTCTAGGCAGAATATGAAGGCGCTCCAGAACTAAAGGGATCTATATTTCCTTTGGACAAATGGAACATTCCACTTCCCAATCCAAATCCATTTCAAACCCATTTCTACATTGAGGCAAGAAAAATCAAATTCACAGGTACAGTATATGTGGTAACTTATTCAATAGCAGTAACTGTGACAAGGATCTCAGAGTTCTAGTGGACAACCATTGAAATAGGAGCCAGCTGTGTGCAGCAGCTGCCAAAAAAGCCAACATAGTCCTAGGTTGCATGAATAGAGGGATAGAATCAAGATTATGTGAAGTGTTAATACCACTTTAGAATGCCTTAGTAAGACTACACCTGGAGTACTGCATCCAATTTTGGTCGTCACCATGTAAAAAAAGATGTTCAGAATCTACAAAGAGTGCAGAGAAAAGCAACAGAGAGGATTAGGGGACTGGAGGCTAAAACACATGATGAACGGTTGCAGGAACTGGGTACGTCTAGTTTAATGAAAAGAAAGACTAGAGGAGACATGATAGCAGTCTTCCTATATTTGAGGGGCTGCCCCAAAGAAGAGGGAGTCAAACTATTCTCCAAAGCACCTGAAGGCAGGACAAGAAGCCGTGGGTGGAAACTAATCAAGGAGAGAAGCAACCTAGAACTAAGGAGAAATTTTGTGATTGTGAGAACAATTAATCAGTGGGACAACTTGTTTCCAGACACTGGAAGTTTTTAAAAAGATGTTGAATAACCATTTGTGGTGTAGGGTTTCCTGCCTAGGCAGGGGGTTGGACTAGAAGACCTCCAAGGTCCCTTCCAACTCTGTCATTCTATTCTAAGTGTCCAAATGCAACTGTATTAATGTGAGAAGATGACAATCACTCCCCACAAAATTGGAGTGTCCAACAGCCTCTTGCGCACAAAGGAGTCCATTAAATTAAGCTGATGTTCTGAATCCGTTTGCAAGCAGGGGATCAATTCACACATCCCTTAATCATCACTGCGCTAAAGATGAGCACGGCAGTAAAGAAAATAGAGCTACTAGTCCTCACCTTTTTTTCATCGCCTTCTTGCAGAAGTTGGAGGTGGCTTCTTTTCTCACTCTCCTTGCCCAAGGAGCTGCTCTGATGCTGGATCAGGCCGACCGGGGGAGAGATGCTTCGTCCTTGGGGGTCCACCCAGGTGTAGATGTGGTTGGTTCTGTAGCCGCCAGGGATGCGACCCACCGAATGGACAGTCAGGTTCAGCTTCTTGGATCCCTTGAGGGCCTGGCGGTGGGGGGGAGATGTTGAAGACAAAGTTTATATCAGAAGGTGAAGGTAAGCATGAGAAAAGAGGCCATTTAATTAAAAAGCAACGATGTTCACAGCTCCAATATTTTCGCCGCTAGTGTTAAGGAAGTGTGAATCTCCCAAAAAACAAACAAACAAAAAAACACCACCTGCCTTATTTGCAACCCCTGGGCAATTTTGGGTGGATACTGAAGGAATCTTCTTGAACTGTTGGGAGAAGTCCTGTAATATCTCAGTTTATTGATAGAAGAGTTGGGATAATTAACCTGTGAGAGGGATCTTGGAGTCCTAGCGGACAATTGCTTAACCAGCCGCGTGCTACAGCTGCCAAAAAAAGCCAACACAGTTCTAGGCTGCATTAGCAGACGGATGGAATCAAGATCATGTCAAGTGTTAATCCCACTTTATAATGCCTTGCTAAAAACCATACTGGGAATATACTGCATCCCGTTTGGGTCGCCACCATGGAAAAAAGACTCTAGAAAGACTCTAGAAAGAGTGCAGAGAAGAACAACCAAGATGATTAGGGGGCTGGAGGCTAAAACATATAAAGAACAGTTGCAGAAATTGGACAGGTCTCGTTTAATGAAAAGAAGAACCAGGAGAGACATGATAGCAGACTTCCAATATTTGAGGGGCTGCCACCAAGAAGAGGGACTCAAGCTATTCTATTCTATTCTATTCTATTCTATTCTATTCTATTCTATTCT